GGTTAAATGGAGCACCAATGTTGTGAACAGTCTAATTCAGCCACATAGTTGCAGGGAGAGGAATGGAGTTGACAGTTAATATACTGAGTTTGTGCAGCATTTTAAGGACAGTGGCTTTCAAAAATCTTTTTGGAGGAAATTTCTGAAATTAAATAGTGGATCCAACATCAATCTGACAAACAGTCTGACAATCCAGAGGAAGGAGAAGCGTAAAGAACAGTGGTAGTGAGGTAGAGCTGGGTGTCAGCATGGTACATGTGGAAACTGTGTTGTTGGATGAAGTTACCAAGGAGCAAAATGCAGAGAAAAAATGGGACAAATCGATTTGAAGTCTGTAGTATCTGTATTTGCTGTGTTCAAGGATTTTTTGTTACATATGCACTGTGTAAGATTAAACCTAGCAGATAAACAACTGATCAATCTTCTTGTGCCATCTCTACAGGTGACTTGAAGCCTTGGCTTAAACAATGGCTTTTGTACGGACTTGTCATCTCATATTGCTGAATGAGCTGCTTCCCATGATGAAGATTACTGCCACTATCTTATATCAATATAGGGAACTACAGGGCCTGCTAGGTCTAGTGTGATCAAGGAAAGCAATTTATAGGTACTGTCAGAAACAAGATACTGGATATCACATTTTGGCACCTATTTACAAGATAGATTGCCACAAAAGACACAGTTAGAGACCAAGGAAGACCAGGTGTTCGCTCTAACACCTTTGAGATCCTAAGCTGTTGTGCCCACAAGTCCACATGGCATCATCACAATGGTGATGCTTCTGGCACTCAGTATTAACCCTTTCAAATACTTATATAGCATTGGCAGCCACACTCCAAAATCTTCAGTGGCAAATGGCTATTACAATCTATGGTATTAAGCATTCACATTTATATTCAGAATTTACAAACTAGTTGTCAACATAAGACTGGTTTGCCCTTCCTCATACTCTTCCAGAAAGTAGGCTGAACGCTTGCGCAACTAGGGCAGATACAAGATGTGTTGATGCATGAGGTCTTACAAAAACACCTAGTGGGCAGTGCAATTTTGATCTCTGTATATGTGGGATGACATTCTGTGTTTTGGGAGGAAGCAGAATGTTTTAATTGGAAAGATTATGATTTTAAAATAACCCATATTGTTTTGCATGTTTTCCAGTAAAATCATAGAGTCATAGAGCTCCAAATCATGGAAACAGACCCATCGGTCCAACTTGTCTACGCCGACAAGATATCCTAAACCAATCCTGTCCCATCTGCCAGCATTTGGCCCATATCCCTCCACACCCCACACCACCCATCATTCATATACCCATCCAGATGCCCTTCAAATGCTGCAACCGCACAGCCTCCACCACCTCCTCTGGCAGTTCATTCCATACACGCACCACCATCTGCGTAAAAAGGTTGCCCCTTAAGGTCCTTTTAAATCTTTCCCATCTCAACTTAAACCTATGCCCTCTCGTTTTAGACTCCACTGCCCTGGGGAAAAGATGTTGGCTATTCACCCTATCCATGCTCCTCACAATTTTATAAACTTCTATAAGGCCACCCCTCAGCCTCCAACATTCTAAGGAAAATAGCCCCAGCCTATTCAGCCTCTCCCTGTAGCTCAAACCCTCCAACCCTGGCAACATCCTCGTAAATCATTTCTGAACCCTTTCAGATTTTACAACATCCTTCCCATAGCAGGGAGACCGAAATTGATGTGGTATTCCAAAAGTGGCCTAACCAATGTCCTGTATAGCCACAACATGACCTCCCAATTCTTATACTCAATGCACTGACCAATAAAGGCAAGCGTACCAAACACCTTCTTCACTATTCTGCCTACCTGTGACTCTACTTTCAGAGAACTAAACACATGCTCTCTAAGGTCTCTTTGTTCAGCAACACTCCCCAGGATTTTACCATTAGCAATTGTCTTTCTAAAATGCAGCACCTCACATGTATCTAAATTAAACTCCATCTGCCACTCCTCGGCCCACTTGCCGATCTGATCAAGGCCATTGTAACTAGGACAGAAAAGTGGAATTTCAACTACCATTGTAATCTGGACAGTGACTTGAAAGAAGTTGAAAAGGACTCAGCAAATAAAGTGGTGGCTGAAAGAGAAGCAGATACATTGAAGGTCTTGATATGATGTCTAAGAGAGTTAAATTATGAGCAGACGTTATATAAACAAAGCTGGTTTTATTTCAAGCAGAGAAGATTAAGGGATGATCTAGTGAGGAGTTTAAGATGATTAAAGGATTTGATAGGATAAGCAGAGAGAAATTATTTCCTCTGGTTGAAGATTCCAGAATAACACACCATAGCTTTAAAATTAGAACTATGCCATTCAGGAGTGTTTTGCAGGAAATATTTCTTTGCACAAGGGATATTAGAAAACAAGAACACTTTCTACCAAAAGCTGTTGAGGTTCAATCAATTGAAAGTTTCAAGGCTGAAACTGCTGGAATTTTGATAAACAAGGTTATTTCAGGTCACAAAACTGAGGTGAGTAAGTTGACTTAAAATATAGATCATAGCAGGCCTGAGTGTCCTAGTCCTGTTCTTATGATCTGAACACTCATCACCAGAGGAGCACTTGTGATACAATGGTAGTATCACTATTGCTTGGCCAGAAGACCTGGGTTCAAATCCTATTTGTCCCAGACATGCCTGAACAGGTTGATTTAAAAATGCCTTCATGTAGGTGAGGCTCCTCACTTTTGGAGTGCATTCAAATAATTATAGCAGTAGTGAAGTAGTGGCAGGCTGGCTATAACTTCTTTGCTGCATGATCTATCTATTACCTGAGCAATGCAAGAAATCGGTCATCATTATTTAATTATAGGAAATAGATTGCATTGGATGAAATAAGCTTAGGTGGTGAAAACATACAACAAATCTGTCCACATCTGAACAGATAGGTTTTTCTTTCAGTTCTCAATGTTCCCTCTCATATTGATTGTGCTACATATTTCCTTCAATAGCCTATTTTCTTTTAAAGAATTCAAATTCATTCTCTTATTTTAATTAATGTGATAAATGACCGACTAATGTGTCTGTGGTCAAAACAGTTGTGTTTGTTGGTGATTGCTTGCGACCAGCTCCAATGAGCCGAAGTCTACATATCCCAGCATGAAGCCTGTTAGAACATTCATTCCACTCATTAGTGGACAGGAAAAGAGCAGAGATAAGCCAGTTGGAGCAGTTTAAGCACTCACATGGTGCTGATTCTGATCAGCTATGGTAGTTCTGGGAATGCAAGCTATTACTGTTCACTAATGCTCGCCTTCTTTCTCCTGGCCATCAAATAATTTATTTACAATGTACTAATTTATCATGATGTAACTTGCTGTCTCCCAGCAGACTCTTAAGTGTTTTTTGCAACTTTTTAATTTGAATTGTTCTTTTTACAATTTTAGCCAGACAAGAAATACCAATCAGAGAAAGGGATTTTAAAATGGTCCTTCTTGACACTATAATTTTTCAATCCTATGAGTCCTTTAACTCCAACTGCATCTGAAGATGATTGACATAGACTGTGTTCTCTATGAAAGAACAATACATCCAAAAACACTTTACATCAGATGCTTAATCTGCTGGTGTCCTTGACACAAACTATTGTTAAAACACACTCTTAACATGAGTAACAAATGTGGAAAGACAGCCATAGGATAATAATTTATCGACTTTATTTGAAATTACATTTAAAAATACCAAATTAATCTCTACATTAAAATTGCAGACAATAATTTTATGCAAAGTATCAACACGTGGTCAAAATGGTACAGGCCAGTTTAACTGATTACAGTATACAGTCAAACTGAATTTCATTTTAAGAATTCCCTCAGTTCCAAGTACATCTGTTTTAGAGAGGAAACGAGCATTATGTCTGATTGAGGCTTCAGGGTATTTTTTTTTCAGTTGAGTTATAATTGGGGTAAAGTCTTTTCTTCAAAGAAAAATAGGTTTTCTCCCCAGCATCTAATTCGATCTGACCTTTTGCTAAGTGAGGCTGAGTAATGGGAGCTGCCCGTTCCAGAAGGAATTTCCTCGCAGCCCAGGCTCTAAATGTCTCTTACGTGACCCTATTGCGCTGAATGATTGCTTTATTATTGCCCTGAGTAAACGTGGAAATATTCATTTACACACAAGCATCCCACTTTAAATTTCATCAGGTGGTAGAGTGACTACATTATCAGACAGAATGTTTCATTTGCTGAAATTGATGTTTCACTTTGTAATCATTTGACAACGATCTCGGTTTTTTCTTTACGCCAACACTGCTCAAAGCAGCTCCCCTACACTTTGACATCTGCCCCACTTTGTTCTGTGGGAAGTGACATATTTGGCACTATATCCTTGGCTCCGAAAGCTCGCTGTTTGCATTTTGTTAGAACAAAGTGGCTAAAACAAGGGCTGTCTTTAGCGCACTGCTGTTCGATGGGATCTTGCTGTGCGTAAAGTGGCTGCCAAATTTTGATTATAGTTCAAAAGTGCTTTGTTAGCTGGCCTGCGCTTGGGACGTACCAAGGTGGTGAAAATCGCGATCTGCAAACTCTTTCAACGTACAACGTTCCTCCTCCTAAAAGCTGATTAATTTCGATAGAAAGGTCGAGGAAGTTGTATGTTTTCATTGTAGAGTCGCTTCGATCCCTCAGAAACAAGCTTTAAAGTCACCTCTAATCATAAATATTCGACATAGCATTCTTAAATCGGAACGAAAAACTAAAATCGCAAATGACTCTGTGAAACTTTGAAAGTCACGGCACTTGACACAAAGTCGCTTAAACAACCACCTGCATGTGATAATGTTAAGGATTTAGCAAGCCTTGTCAAATTCAAAACCCAGGAATTTTAGGCATTAAAAACACAATGACACCAACTTCTAAACTAGTACATTTCTGGATAACAGTCTTTGAGGTTAATCGCTCCCCTGTCTCTGCACTCCCTGCTTCCTAGCAGCATGAGTGTAACCAGTGACAATAAAAAAAAAATGTCCCCACTCACCGACCAAGAATGTGCTCCTCATGGCTGTGCTGATCGGAGAGGGCAACAGGGGCAGATATCTCTGTGGCAAGGTGTTGATTGCCCTGTTAGGCTGATGAGTGGAGACGGCTGAGATTTGATTTCAGCACTGCATGAATGGACAGCTCTCAACCTGACGTCAGTTTCTTCGCCCTCCCTTCACACAGATCCTAGCTGGACGATTACCTGCTTTCCAGGCGGCCTGGAGAGCGGACCCCCCCCCCCCCCCCCCCCCCCTCTCCACCACCCCCCACCCAAACTCACATTGAGACCTCGAAGTCATCCAGCTCAGCACCTAGACACAGCATACCTTAGCAGCAGGTCACAGATGAACTGGTGTTAATACTGATAATTCCAAGGCATCAGAACTAATACTTCCCCCGCTGATCACTTCAAGGCGAGAAAAGCACGTGGGGGAACCGATAGCACTGAGCCTCGGATATCACCTTGTGACACACACATGGTTAACACGGAGAAACACTGCCAAAAGAAGTTACTAAAGTCCTGAGGAATTCAGGGGAAATCCACTAATCATTTTAATAACCACTTCAAAGTTGCGCTGAACACCATTTACTATGTAAATATAAATTGTTGGTAGAATTAGAATTAGATCTTATTGTTACGCATAGTCAAAGTATAGGAATACATGAGTACAGTGAAAAGTGTACAAAGTTGCCTTTCTCCAGCAACATCTTGGTTACAAAACCTGAACTTGACGGAAACAACAGCAGAAACAAGAGAAAGTGAAAACATTAGAAAACTGTTGAGATCTTAAAGTTTAAGTTGTATCTCCATAAAGGTGTTTGGAGCCACCGATGCAGGCATCTGGGCCTAGCCATGGCCTGGAGTTTTAGTCAGCCTGTGCGTCTTGCATCAATCACCAGGAGAAGCCACGTTCTTGCTGCCGCTGCTGCCTCCAATCTCTGGAGAGGCTTTGCCACTGTTTACTGCCATTATCGCTGCTGCCCTGAATGTCAGGAGAAACTGTGTCCTATCCGCTGCTGCTGCTGTCTCCAATTGCCAGAGAAATATCACATAAAATATAAAACAGAGTCTTGTGTATTTATACCCGTAGCATCTAGCTTGAACAAATACATCACACCGTGATACAGTCTACCAGCCATTGGAACGTACTAGGCATTACATCAACACTGAAACTCATATCACATTATTCATTTGTGTGGTAGGCAAACCACCTTTTTGGCTTGAAGCAGCGTCCTGTTAGTGGAGAAAACCACTCATGAAATTAAGGCACAATAGCAGCACAAGACAGCCAACTTCACTAGTTGTTCAAATTTTTGAGACACCTTTCCCTTCCTGGGTAATCCGAGGTAGACCGGGCACCACTCAGGGCTAAATGCTCACTGGTCAATATACACTTTGGGCTTCCTACAGGCCCATGATCAATCTTATTGACAACCATATGAATAGGAGCCGAGCCACCTACTCACTGCTTAAGCTCAACACTGAGGTAGGACATATCAATACTATCCTGCCTGATAATGGATACCATGATCAAATCATCACTCAATCCTGGTATTTTCGCAGCCTGCTATTGTGATTGCACAAAATTGTAAGAACCTCAATTACTACCTATCCCACCCCTATGACTTCCCTCATATCCAAATCCAACCCCATCTTACGGTGTGCCGTTCTGGGAACAACTTGACACTTAGCACGTAGCCACTGAAATATTGGCATCCCTTGTACCTGCACCATCTTTGAAAGACCACTCACAACCAGAGAAGCACTGGAAATCTGGCATTCCCCTTCATTGGCAGTGTAATGACACAGCAGACACAAAGACACACTGCCCAAGACATGACTGGTGTAATTGACAGTCTTTCGCACATGCAACTCCATTCTCATATCTATTCTTAAATTTTCTAATATTTCCTCACTCTGAAAAATCCAACATTTCTTCTGTGCACTGTTGTCAAACATGTTTGAATACCATTTGGTATTCACTCTTGCACTGATACCAGTAGTCTCTAACATTCAGACTCACTATCAGACCACACTTTACTTTAGGTAGATCCCATATGAAGACCCTCATTGAGTTCCATTACTCTTTCTCCAATGCTCAGTGGTCTCCAGCATCTTGTCATTATCTGGTAGAAAAATATTACATACACACCCAATTTCCTCAACCTCTCTTACCTGTACAGCCAAGCCATCCCAGGAACAAGTTTGGTGAAATTTCACCTCTATGGCAATAATATTCTTCCTAAGATAATGGGTCAAAACCTACACATTCTAGAATTCTAGAGACAGCACAGTGTGGAGCTGGAGGAACACAGAAGGCCAGGCAGCATCAGAGGTGCAGGAAAGTTGACTTTTCAGTTCGGACCTTTCTTCAGAAATTGACCTGAAACATCAACTTTCCTGCTCCTCTAATGCTGCCTGGCCTGCTGTGTTCCTCCAGCTCTATACTGTGTTGTCTCTGACTCCAGCATCTGTAGTTCTTACTATCACATTGTATTATGGCTGTGGTTTTACCAAGGTTCTATACAACTGAAGCAAGATGTCATGAGTAATATACTAATTAGCTTATGTGCTAACATACTCTGGCCTTGCTGCTTGCTGGCTGTACTTTCATGCTGGTGTTCAGTGACAAGGACACACAGGGTCATTTGTATATGTCCACTTTATAACATTTTACCATTTAAGAAATACCCTGCACAGCTGTTCCTCCTACCAAAGTTGATATCCTTACATTTTCTGCAATGTATGCCATCTGCTATGTTCGTGCTCATTCACTGAGTCTTGTTCAAATCCTTTTGATCTTCCTCACAGCAGAAATTCCCACTTAGCTTTGTGTTGTATATGAACTTGGAAAGATTGAATTTGGTCCTCACCTCCAAATAATTGATATATATTGTGAACAGCTGGGCCCCAGGCATTGATCATTTCTGTCTTCCACCAATCACAGTCTGCCAACATGAGAATGATCTGTTTATTCAAGCTTTCTGTTCTCTCCCTGTTAGCCAATGTTTAATCCATACTAGTACGATAAGCCCTATTCCAGTTGCTTTAATTTTGATTTAATGTGCTAACAAGTAAACCTCCTGTACTTTGTCAAAAATCTTCTGAAAATCCAAGTATACTACCATTGTAGTTATCTTTTAGTGATTCTGTTAGCAACATTTTGAATAAAATCCAACCGGTTCATCAAACATAATTTCTGATTCAAAATGCATACTGACTGTAAATAGATCACTATTATCTGAGTGTTTTTTCATTACATCTTTGATATTAGAATGTAGCATTTTCCCTATTATTGAGGTAAGGCTAACAGTTCTGTACTTTCCTGTTTTCTCTCTCATTTGCTACCTTCCACTCAGCAAGAACCATTCCACAATCTGTAGAATTTTGGAAGATAATCACCAAAACATTGACTATTTTTATAGCCACCTCATTCAACATTCTGGATGTAGAATATCAGGTCATGGAGACTTATCGACCTTCATTCTCTAACGCAACCTTCTTTTTAACACTAATTTTCTCAGTTCCTCGTTCTCCCCAATCACTGGGATCTCTAATTCTGTGGTCTTTCTTGTATCTTCCTCAGCAAAGACATACAAAGTAATAATTTGGTTTCTGTGCCATTTCTTTATTGTCCATTGTAGGTTATTTTAAATTTATGTAAATTCACTTTCTTTAAATGTTTAAATAGCATTTCTTACCAATCTTTCCTCTGTGGCAAAATGACCAAAATTGTCAAAAGATGGCACCTGACATCATCTGGTGAGACCTCGGGTATGAATGAACGATCACTCCCAATGTACCTTTGTTGTAATCTTTCTAAAGTAACAGCTAAAGAATTTGCTGCAGATCAATGAGATAAGTTTTTTTTACAGTGGCTCAATGGTTAAGCACTGCTGCCTCACAGAGCCAGGGAACTGGGTTCAATTCCAGCCTTTGGTGACTGTCTGTGTGGGTTTGCTCTGGATTCCTCCCACAATGCAAAGAGGTGCAGGTTAGTTGGATTGGCTATGTTAAATTGTGCCTTGTGTTCATGGATGTGTAGGCTAGGTGGATCAGCCAAGGGTGATAGAATAGGGGGTTGAGTCTGATTGGGATGCTCTTCAGTGGGTTGGTGTTGACTTGTTAGGTTGAATGGCCTGTTTCCACACTGTAGGGGTTCTATGGAATACTCAGTTCAAAAATTAAATGTAATTGACAGCCTGTAAATGGCTGCCAATTCAGTGGTGTTGAAGAAGTATGTTTATAGTGTTGTTGGTTTCAAAAATCTTCAAGTGGAGTCAAATTTCAATTCTATTCTGCTGCTTTTACTGCATATTTTTCGGTAATCTCATCTAATAAAAATCTATTGATCGCATCTTGAAAATTTCAAACATCCATGCTTTTTGGCAGAGTGAATTCCAGATTTCTAATGCACTTTGTGTAAAAATGTATCTCCTGATTTCAATGGAGCCTTTGAGTCATACAGCATGAAAACAGATCCTTCAGCCCAACACGTCCATGCTGACCAGGTTGCTGAACTAGTCCCATTCACCTACATTTAGCCCATGTCCCTCTAAACCTTAACTATCCATGTACCTGTCCAAACTTCTTTTAAATGTTGCCATTGTACTTGCCTCCACCACTTCCTCTGGCAGCTCGCTCCATATACACACCATCCTCTGTGTGAATAAGTTCCCTCTCAGGTCCCTTTTAAATCCTTCCCTTCTCACCTTAAAGTTATGCCCCCTAGTTTTGGACTCTATACCCCAGGGAAATGACCTTAGCTATTCACCTTATCTACACCCCACATGATTTTACAAACCTCTGTAAGGCCACCCCTCAGACCCCTACACTCCAGGGGAAAAGACCCAGCCCATCCAACCTCTCCTTATAACTCAAACTGTCCAGTCTTGCTAACATCCTTGTAAATCTTTTTTTGCACCCTTTGCAGTTAAATAACATCCTTCCTAAAGCAGTGAGACCCAATTGTATGCAGTACTACAAATATGGCCTTACCATTGTCATGTACAACCATAACATGACTTACCAATTCCTGTATTCAGTGCTCTGACTGATGAAGGCAAGCATGCCAA